ATGTTAGTGAGAGAGGTGGAATCAGACACAGAATTTATAAGTAAAAGATCAAAGGAGGTACTAAACAAGCCCAAGATGCTATTAAATCTTTAATCAGTTGGAAGATTTTAATTAATTGATATGTATATGTAAATCCCTGAATTTCTTTCAAGTCACTGCGTTGAGAGAACGAAAGCTTTTATCAGTGTAAAGAAGAGGTGACCTTTTAGGTCAGACAGTGCATGTTAGGTGTGAGACCTTGTTTAGAATCTGCAAACGCTGCAAATGTTGTTTGATATTGTTTGCCATATTGTTTGACACAGTCCACCAGTCTTTGAAATATATAGCTTAATTGTGACGTAATGGAACTGAAAGTCTTGTATCACACTACTCATTTGTGTGGAAGATAAAATGTCTTCATGGTTTCACAGCAGCATCCTCATTGTGGAGAAAAGTGCAAAGTAACAGTGTAAGATAGCTGGCTTCACCTGTTGTTCAAATTTCTGAAACCTTTTATCATTCCACGAAAATCTGATATAGACAACTAGAGCTAAAGCCAGACATAATCTCAGGATAAAGCATGCTTTTGTGCAAGGTGAGTTAAAATAGATTAGTAGCAGGATTACTAATCTGCATCATCTTCTGCATTATGCTTGGTCCGAAGTATGCAAGTTTCTTTCATTCTTCACTTTTAATTTGTATGTAGCACAATATTGCCTTTACAGATAACCGTACTATAAACAATACCTGCTTGATACAGACCCATACTATATTGAGTATTCGTTAGAAATGTTCTGGATTCTCCACTCCAATCAACCAAACATCTGCGTTCACCGGTCGGTAGACATGTTGGGATTTCTACAATTCCACATGCTACATTGGGAACCTCATGAATAAATCCCTTGCTAACTGTTCAACTCTATGCTGATGAAGAACATATCAAAGCAATCCAACATGGTAATGGCTGCCTTGATCCAAAAGGCCCTATGTTTACCCCTCAGCCCTGAATGGTGTCCAGTCTACCTCAGATTACCTTGGAAGGTGAAAATATCGCAATAACTTGACTAAAAGGTGTCTCTTGCTGCTACTTTGCAGTAAACACAATTGGTTTTCGACACTAAAAAGTTGCTGTCATCAAGCTAAAGGATATTTTGCTAAAACATATGAATAATATATATATTTTGGTATTACTGTGATATCAGGTATGGTACCAGGTATACCCAATATCTGGTAGAATGTTTCAAACAACATGTCCTGGTGACCATTTGCAATGGGCAGCATGTTAATCGTGGTCAACCAGCCTGTGCTTGCAAGCCTTAGAATGGTACGTCCACCATTAGATGTGATACTGCTGCAAGAAATTTATTTATGATGAAATTTGGACTGCAGTAAGCATTAACAAGGTGCAGAGCTGGATGAACACCGCTTTTTCTGAAGAAGGGTCTAGGCCCGAAACATCAGCTTTCCTGCTCCTCTGTTGCTGTTTGGCCTGCTGTGTTCATCCAGCTCTGCACTTTGTTATCTCAGATTCTCCAGCATCTGCAGTTCCTACTATCTCTACAGTAAGCATTAGTCAGGCTCGCTGTCTGTCATATCTGCAAATGAAAGAAGTTTTTTTTTATTAATATGCAGGTCCCGGCAATATGAATTTGTATACACACTGCACGTTTTTCATCAGGAAACCCTTAAAGGGGTCATGGAGACATGTCAATACCCTGACCAATCAAAACCTACTTGCTGAATAATTTGGTATCCCTTTTTTCAAGTCTGTTTCTTGCCCTGGTCCTAGTGAGCGCAAGTTGACAGACTTTGACTTGTGTCCTTTTCAATGTATTAAAACAGTTTTTCCAAAGTAAAATAAAACAAAATGACTTGCAAAGCCTTGCATCCGAATCTATTAATTTGAATCAGTTCAGGAAATAGAAAAGATAGAAAACAAAATGAAGTTCAAGTTATTGAAGTATTTTGACCTTCTATCAAAAGGTGACCAATTAATTAGATTGGCCATTAGATTAATACACAGCCCACTGGTGTGATTCTTCAGATTGAAGTTCAAGTATCAGTACTGACTTGCTCTTTGATACATTAAAATTTAAAAATGTATCTTTCTTGAATATATTCAGTGACTTGGCCTCTACAGCCTTCAGTGGTAGAGAATTCTACAAGGTCACTATCCTTTAAAGAATTTTTCCTCGTCTCGGTCCTAAATAGTCTACTCTGTATCTTGAGACTGTCCCCTCTGGTTCTGGACTACACAACCAGGGAAAGCATCCTTTCTCTAGTCTGTCTAGTCTGTTAGAATTTTATACATTGCCATTTGATTCCCTCTCATCATTCTCAACTGTAGGAAATACCATTCCAGTCAAATTCCTGTCTCCTCATAGTGGAATCCTGCCATATCTGGTATCAGCTTAGTGAACCTCCTGTGCATTCCCTCAATGGCAAGTATATCTTTTCTTAAGTAGAGATACCAAAACTGCATGCGGTACTCCAGATGTTGACTCATCAAACCCCCTTATAACAGCAGTAAGAGATCCCTATATCTGAATGCTAATCTTCTTGCAATGAAGACTTTAATATCATTTGCTGCACCTACCTATCTACTTTTGTTGATTGGTAAATAAGAACATCCAGATCCCTTTGTACATCCACACTTGCCAATGTATCAATAATATTCTTCCTGACCTTTTTTAAAGCCTCTCAGCAGACTGATCATTTTGTTTAATACTTAATGCTTAATACATCAAGACTTAGTGGGGAACTATATTGAAAACCTGCTCCCTTACAAAGTAATGTGTAGAAAATTGTGACGTTTTTAAAAGGTTTCACCCATAAACTACTTTGTGAATGCTAATTTTAAGAGAAAGTATTTAATGGTCCCTTGAATTTGAATAGGATGGAAGATTTGGGTAGCATTTCTCGAACGTTAAATCTAAGTAGCCCAATTGTTCCCTAAGCCGTCTTGTGCCGTTTTTACACCCACCTCTTCTGAATTGTCTGATGAGCAAAATTCTAGTTTGGATTCTTTGGTCTGTGTTACCCAGTTATGATAAAGTGATACTGCAATGGACTTCAGTATTCTTGGATTTGAAAGAGGAAAAATACCACATTGTTTCCTGTTCTTGATGGCTATTCAGTGAACCCTTTGAAACAGTGCCTTACTGGTAATAGTTGAACGACCAAACTGGCTAGTCTAAGAGCATCCCCACTTCAGTTAAAATACTAACTTTGCCAGTTTTTTTTAATGATGAAATATGCACTTTTGTAAATTGATTTCAAATTTGCAGGCAATCAAGCAGCAATCGGATTCAAGCAGTTATTAACATCATGATATTGTCATTATGATGAAAGCTGTGTGTTTTATGTATATTGATTTGTTTTAAGAGTTTAAACTGTAAATGAACCACGTAAGGATATTGGTTTATTTTTGTGGAACCATGATGTTAAAATAGTGCCACCTGAAGTTTTGGTGACTGCAAGTGGTTTCAAAACTGTCTCATAATGTGTTTGTACCATGATTTTATAATAATAGATTTTGCCTCCAAGTCAAATAATATGATTGTATACATAATCTATGCCATGCATTTGCCAACAAGTGGATTAGCCCCATTTGATCAGTGACAAATTGATTTTGTGGCTTGAGCTAAGTCACCCAGGAAAGGAAAAAGTTACTTGAATGACATGGGCAGTGAATAAGTACAAATCATTTAGTTACAGAGTGAGGGAAGCAAAACTGTGTTTTCCAGTAACATGGCAGTGGAGTAGGGCTTCTGAGCCCGGGACTTGTCTGCGCAATCTGCTTTTCTTTGTGTTCTTTTCTTTTTTTTCTCTCTCTTTTGTTTCTTCTCTTATTTTACTTGCCTCTTGTTGAAGAGTTTGGTCATGGCAGAGTGAGCCCAGTGCAGACTCAAGTGGTCCCAGCGCAAGTTCATGGTGGCAGTGGAGGCAAATTTGGTCCCAGTACTAGAGCCAGCAGCATCGGCAGTGGCTGCATGGGTGAGGTGGGCCCAAAGCGGACTCATGGTAGCAGCAGAATAGTGTTTGGGCCAGTGCGGTGGCAAGGTCCAGCGAGGGCTTCGTTGGAGGCAAGATAGTGCCAAAGAGTGGCGATTTTTCTTTCGGCAGTGGCGGCACAGTGAAAGGGACTCGTGCCTGGCCACCAGGCCCATGGCCTATGGCAGAGCCCTCAACAAGAAAGGCTGTAAAGTTGAACTATTTTTCTGCCTTTATAATCTGCTTTGATTACTTTTCTGTGTTTTAAGATAATGCCGAGAGTGGTGACACTGTATAACAATTTTTACTGTATTTTGTTACAAAATACACGTGACGAGAAATAAATCAAATGCTGTTCTGTGCTATTTTGTGTGGTTTAAGTAGCTTCATCTGTGGGCTGCCATGGAACATACGACTTCTTTTAGAAGAATAGTCCCTGCCATGGATGAAAATATGAAAAGAAAATTGTATCCAAACAAATTCTGTGAAATGCAAAACACTAGTCAGTATAACAAGCCGTTACTTTGCCCATGAATGAGGAAGAGTCCCAAGTTCATTACTGGTTAAATAATTGATCTCAGCCAAGACAGCAGTAATTGTGTTTTCAATTGACCACAATGATCCTGGATTAAGGAGTGAAAAATTCCTGCTTCTGAAATGTCAAGTGACCATTGCCATTAGCGCTCACGTGCGGATCTGTGTCTCCCGAGATGAAGTAGCGTGCCACTACGTGAGATTGCCTTTGGGCAAGCAAGTACACCTGTATAATTCTGAACCAGCAGGGGGAAAAGTTTGCAGGAGAAATGTTAAACGTTAATCGAAAGCATTCTGCATTTTTACAATTCATTTGAATACTTTTTATTAATGTATGGGTTAACAACTGTATGGTTAATGTCCTGGACTTTAATTATATGTTGATAAAGTTAATCTGTGTAAAGAGTTATCTGGAATGTTAAATATTATTTGCAATCAGAATTAACTTGAGTATTTTAATACAAGTTGTTTGTTAGTTTTGTTTTGTTTTTCAGTGGAAGAAATACTGGTTTGTACTGACTGACCATAGTCTGCGTTACTACAAGGACTCAATTGCTGAGGACGTAAGCATTATATTTGGAAATTATTCAGAAACCAGTTAAATTTTGCCTACAACCCTGAGCTATATTTCGGAGCTCTTACGTGTTATGTTGATTGCCCTTTCTGTGAGAACCTGTGCAGAAAAATAAAGAGCTAAAGCCTCACTGCAGAAATAGATATTAAGCATAGTTTTAGGTTTTGGTGATGCTGTAAACAGATCTATACTGCATCAGGCCCCACCTTTTTACAAATATCCAGAATCTTATTTCCATTGAAGTTCAGCTACAATGTTGACTATCATTTGAATCAGCTATAGTAACGATTATTTGTTAAATTCTTTCTGAAGCTTCTTCCTAATTAATTGGTGTCCAGTTGAAAGTAATCTGGGAAAAAGATATTCTTGATATTAGTTTCCTGCTTAACTCTCCTTTAGAGTTAAAGTCAGAATTATGATTGACACGCCTTTACCACTAAATCTGTGTCTCAGTTATCTGCACTTATTGACACTACAATAGATCCATTTTGTTCCTAAGCAATGGGAAATACATTTTGCTGTGACACCATTTTATGCAATCCATATCAACAGCAGCTAAGGGCAGAAGAGCCAGCAATAGTCTGAAGTACAGTGACCCATTTTCCAACTCTTGAAGAGATCTGCTTTTGGCCACCTCTGACCTCTTATCTGTCCCCAGTTTTCCATTTTTCTACAATTTGAGGATATACCTTTAGCCACTTACGCTGTAAGCTGTAGACTCTTCCCTAAGCCACTGCACTTCTCTTCCATTAAAATTATTTTTAAAATGTACTACTTGTATAGCTCTGAATCCATTTTTGTATTATACACTCCTGTGAAGACCTTGGAACGTTTTACCATATTGAAAATGTTATACAAAACAAGTTGATTTTATTATGCTGTACCAGTACAGCTGCTTTCATACTAAATCTAGAAGGATTAAGTGAAAAGATGAGTTTATTTTCTTTTCATTCCCTGCTTGAACTTTTCGGACCCATCCTAATTGAACTTATTTCAATGCCATATTTTACTGGCTAATTTTATTATGCTGAATTACTGTACCTACCAGAAACTGAAACACCAGTTTTTCTTTTTCTCTTCAGAAGCATGAAACCCAAAACATTTTTACTAAATTTACTAAAATACTTACTGTATTGGAAATCTAAATTAAGAAAGGAAATTGCAAGAAATGCATACAAGGGTTCTGCAAGATTTGTGATGAGAGAATGAAAACAAGCATTTCAGGTTGGCATTTCATCAGAACTGGAAGACTTTTAGCGATGAACACTTTAGGCACATGCACAGCTTGTGAAGAACAAAAGGCCTGTGACAGAGAGAATTGAATGCTTGGTAGTCCCCTATCAGTATATGGGATTTGAGACCCTTTCCTTCTGCCGGGTTTCCAGGTAGTGGGAATTCCTTGTAAAATTTTTGGTACCATTCCTCTCTGTTCCACCTTTTACATATTTGTCTTTTAGACCCATCTTTGTTTCTATGTTTGTTGCATTGCATTCTCCCTTTGTCTTATATCATCTCTTTTGGTAGTTAAACACTTGTGTCCTGCATGTTATTGCATGATTACCCTCTTTGATCTTTTGCCTTTCATTGACTTCATATTTGCTGAAAGCCGTTCACCCTAATGTTTTCATTCCTCAAGAAAGGTGTGTTCTAAATCACTGGGTCAAATTTGTGGAACATGGTTAAGCTTTGTCTGTACCATTCAGCTCCAAACTTCTGTGCTGTAACTTGCTGAAAATGCAAGCCAATGATTGTCGTGAAGGCAACAAAAAATCTGGTCACTGAATGACAGGACCAGCAATCTATTGATTTTTTTTGTATTAATGCTGAACAATTTTCCCGTAGACATGCTGTATGATCATGGTGCAACCGGATCTAATGTTTTACTCTAGCCTGTTTCTAAATTGGCTGAAATATATCAAAGGATCTTTCAGCAGTGCCATTTCTTTTTCATATTTACCCTTGGAACTGGAGGTGAACAGATATTTGACTGCAGCTGTTAGTGTACAAAGGGATGCTGTCTCGTTTTCCCAAAGGCAGCATCAACTTTGTATTACACTGTTTAAAATAGCATTTAATTAATTTGTTGGAACTGAAAATGGATTCTAAAATCAAATTGCAGTTGTTAAAACCTACAAGCACTATGGTAGCTTAGCAGCAACTGCTCTGACTTGGGTATGCATGATCATTTAGAGCTTTATTGTAGTGGTTAAGTTAGCATTATGCCAGTCAGTTCTTGGCAAAGGTATTTGGTGCCTCAAGCTGATTTCTAATCTGAAGATTTTCCTTTTCTTTGTGTAAATTTCCATGTATTAATATATCAGAATAAGGCTTATTTTGGATTTTTGTATTGACTATGACATGCTTAATGGGCAGAAAATGTACTTAACTTATTGTGGATGACACTTTAGAGCTGTCTTAATTTAGAAAATCGGTATTTTCTGTCTTCCCTTATAGCTACAAACTTATGCTGAGGTATAGTCCCATTCGGATGTTGACAGAACTTTTGACATTTTGTTCAGTAAGGAGTAATTTCACTTCAGAGGAGGGGCACCAGCAGGTTGTTTGATAGTATGGCCATCAAAGCCCTACTCCAACTGTACCCACCTTTCTAGCACAGGCAACATGGTTACAATTAGGTGGAAGATGCCTAGCTGACTATATATTTAAAATTTGTTTAGTGTTGTGTTGATAGTGTCACAAATGTTGAGAGATTTTGAAAGTATTTCTGAATTTCTTGAATAAGAAAACTTCCATTTATGAACTCCAATCTGGTTTATTAAACAAAGTGTATGCGGCGTGCCATGAGCAATTTCCTATCCTCTTCCAAAGTTGACTGGTGAATTGGCTTTGTGTGTCTAAAGCCAAGAAAGAATGCCGTTTATTGTATAGTTTGAGTTCAAATGTATATTTTTTTAATTCTCTTGACCAGTCTCTCGTGTGCAATTTATCTATTTGATGACCTGGCATGATTGTTATTGCAAGGTTTTCTAATAACAACTTATTGCAATTGTATCCCAACTTCAATGCAGTACATTGTCCCCTGGTGCTTCACAGAAACACCTGATATCTAAAAGTGAACCAAAGCAAGAGATATTATGCATAATGACTAAAGGTTTGGCAATGAGCTGTTTTAAAGGGAGAGTGGGAGGCAAGGATGTTAATTGTGGGCTTAGAATTTAGGTTACAGCTGATAAAGATATTACTCCACTAGCGGAAAGGGGAATTGGAGAAATGAAGAACCCTGTGAGGTTCTATCAAAATATGAAGACTGCTTAAAAGCAACTTTGAAGCAAAATAATACAAGCTTGTATAAGTAGAGGCAGCTCATCAAGATAAAGTGCAGTGATAAATCATCCATTATGGCACCTACGACAAGGCTCATCAAATGGCTAGTATTTGAGATGCATGGTTCAATTGGACTTTAATTCCAGCAAAAAATATCTCATTAGTTATCAAGAAATTTAATGCAGAAAATGTGAGATTTCAGCAGAATTTTGACAATATGGAAGCTGGAGGGTGAGGCCAAGAAGGATTTGAACATGAGAATGAGAATTTTAAAAATCAGGATGTTGTCCTGTGTAAATTGCAGAATGAGACTTGGTGTTCGTTCGAATATGGACAACAGAGTTATGGATGACTGCAATTTATTGACTAGTTTCCTAGCTTCCACCCCCCAGGAAAGCATTGGGACAGTAGAGTCTGGAGGAAACATGAATGTTGAGGGTTTCAGCAACAAATAAGAAACAACAAGTGATGCTGTATCGATGGAAGTAGATGGTCTTTGTAATGGAGAACATGGCATTTTCGTACAAGATCAAGAAGGATAATCTGGTTTAGCTTTGATTAGAAACTCGCACATAACTGGAAAATTATCTAGCACAATTTTAGCTTTACATTGTTGAGCCAAAGCGCTTTTGTGTATTTGGTTCCTTTATATCTTCTAAAATGAAAATCTGCTGTTAATTTCTGATTCACCACACGTTGTCAAATTAATTAACCTGTTTTGTTTTCTCACCATCTGCCACAGGCATCAGATTTGGATGGTGAAATTGATTTATCTACTTGCTATAATGTAACCGAATATCAGGTCCAGCGCAACTATGGCTTCCAAATTCATGTAAGTTGATGAGTTTAAAATGACACTGAAAATTCCCTCTGACGTGATATGTACTCAGCGGTGTTGTCTTCCTTCTGCAACGTCTGAGATATTACTTGTGACTTTCACTAATATTTCTAATTAAGTCTGTAACATATCTTCACTGTAATTTGCTTTTTCATATATGATCGAATTATAGAATGATACAGCAGGGAAGTAAATAATTGGACTTATCACGTCTGCACTTTGAAAGAGCAATCCAACTAGCCTATCTCTTGTCCTACCCTGTTGCCATGGAAACCTTTTCTCTTTCAGGTGTTTATTCAATTTTTTTAGAAAGGAAAATATAGCGAATGCTGGACATCTGAAACACAGAAAATGCTGGAGAAACTCAGGTGTGGCAGCATCTGTGGAGAGAGAAACAATTACGATTTAGAGTCTGTTGTGACTCTTCAGCAGCAGTTAACATTGAATCCAGTACGACTTTTCAAAGAAATTGACTTCTGAAGGGGAGTCATACTGAACTCAAAATCCTAACTCTGTCTACAGATGCTGCCATACCTGAATTTCTTCAGCACTTCCTGTTTGTCTATCCAATTCCCTTTTTGAAAGCTATTTTGCCATTCACTGTTGTTTTATTGTCCATAGACATAGTCAGCCATTTGTTGAGACTGAAATAGAATTCCTTTTAACCTTCCACTCACCTGTAATACTATTTTGTTGCTATTTGATCTAATCTTTTCTTGCATTACTTTTATCAAATTTCCTTAGATCAATCTGATATTATGCTGAGAGTTATGACAGTGTGAGACTAGCTTCTTGCATGATGTGATACTAAAGCCATATAAGCCATTCTGGGCTTTGGAATTAACAGTTAGCTGATCTCATCTTCACATAAAATTACATACAAGTTTGAGTTGTACAGTTGATTCAATCCAACTAATCTGTGCTGGTATTTAGTCCATGGAGTCTCCGCACGTTCATATCTTATGGTTGTGCTTGGAATGTGGATTTTACTTCAAACTTCCATTTTAGGGCAGCTAGATAGAGAAAGAAACAGAAGAATTTGCCAATAGGGTGAAATGGATCACAGTCAGAGGGCATTTCATGTGAAGAAAGACATTGGAAGAGAACAATTCAACTGGCCTATTTGTGCTGTAAATTCTGTACAATTTGTTATAATCTGCTACCACCACCCATTCAGGCAGTGCATTCCAGATCATCACAATTCGCTGTAAAGAAATTTTCTCGCTTCTGCTGTTTCTACCATTTATCTTAAAGACTCATTCTCTGGTTACTGACTGTTCGGTGACTGGCAAAAACTTTTCCAATTTATTCCATCGATAGCATTCAAAATTTTGAGCATCTATTAAATATCCTATCCTTCTAAGGAGAACAGCCCCAGCTTCCCTTGACTCTTAACATATTAAGTCAATTTCTAGTAAATTTTTGCCAATCCTTTTGCAGGTGTTGACATTTTTTTTTCCAAGTGTCATGCCAGAATTAGACACTGTATTCCAGCTGAGACTGAGTGTTTTTTAAGGCTTCATGTAAATTCTGTGTTTTTGTACTCTGTCCTGGATTTTTCAAAGTGTTGCAGAGCTCTTTAAAAATGATGGTCAGGTCCTGACTCTGGAATTCATGTGCATGGTTGACGTGAGGTTGTTGATGATGACTGAGCATTAACTGGGTTTAAAATATAACCAAACAATTGGTACAAAGTCACAGAGAACCCAGGCTGGTCTTTTCAATAGCCTGCTACGACATTTGGCCCCCTCTGTGGCTGCTTTTGATCTTCCTACAAGGCTGCAGGTAAAATTCCATAGCAATCCCCCACAGTGGGGTCAGCACTATCTAAGGCCCTTTGTATCTATGTAGAAGTCCATTGAAAACATTAGTTTGCATCATGGCCCATCATTGATTAATGGACAGAAGCATTGCTCCAGCTTTCCCGCCCCTATCAGAGCTGAATAAGATGCAAGCAACTTCATTTGTAATGAGGCGAATGCTTGTACAAAACAGGTTTAAAATATTTCTGCTCTGGATTAAATAGCACTCACTAGTTGTAATTTTCTCACTGGAAGTTGACTGCCCTCTTGCCTTTCTACTCCTCAGTAGGTCACTCTGTCAAGAGTATGTGACTTAAAGTACAATTTGTGAATCAGGTTTACTTAAAAATGTCTTCATGTCAATAAATGAGGAATAGAGCAGGAGAAACCTAGCAGGTTTGGCATCATCAGTGGAGAGAGAAAAACAGAGTTAACATTTCAAGATGCATGACTGTCAGGAGTTGAGTCATGATCTTTAAACTTGGTTTTGTGGAAGAGTTGTATTTGACTTGAAATGTTAGCTGCTTCTGTCTCCTCGGATGCTGCCATACCTGCTTAGTTTATCCAACACTTTACAGATTGTGGAGATCTGAAATCAAAACAATATTTTCCTTTTTTTTTTAAAAGGAATTAAGTAGGTTCCTCTAGATTGCAACATTTTCACTCTTACAAGTTTATATTGCAGCAATACATTTATCTCTTCATTTTACAAGTAATAAACATGAAACTTCACTAACCTTCCAAGTGACACAAACTTGATTCAGTATCTGTAATAAGCAGTTTCATACAATAGACTAAATCCCTCAGGAAGTCTTCCCTTGCAGACCTCTGCATGGCTGTAGTGCTGTAAAACAGGTGAACTGCTGAACTGGTCAAAAGCTGCCAAGGTTGTTTTTAAACTGGATGTAGAGTTGTGTTCATGACCACCCCTCCGAAAAGCACCAATTGAACAATGCCTTATATAGCTCAGGTTGTACAAGCTCTGAAAATTGCTGCTTGTTTGTCAAATGATACAGTGAGATTTCACTCCCTAGGACTAGCAGTTAGCTCTGGTTCTGTAAGTAAGTTTCTTAAACAGCTTTCTGGCCTACCTCTGTTTGAAGAGCCACTGATACTCTCTGATAACTTGCATAATCTTGCATAATTGATACCTGACAACCTTGAATAGATTGATGCAGAAAAAACTAATTCCTAGTCATTACGGATAATGCAAATGCTAATATCTCATCTTACAGACCCAGGAAGCTTTGTTTACCCTTTCTGCAATGACTGCTGGCATCCGACGCAATTGGATGCAGGCATTGATGAAAAATATCCGACCTTCAAAAGCGCCAGATGTTGCCAGGTAATATTGTGCTGTACCAAAACTCTTTCTTACTCATGCTGTTACTTGGTACACAGATTCCAAAATGGTTCATTGCGGTAAGTGCATTATAATTGAGCTATTTAGGAATATTGTGTCTGAGTTTGAACTGATATTATAATCTCCAAATAGATTTGTTGTTATCTTTACATACTGTTGTATGTTTTAGGAACTTTCTGCATGTGAGAGATTTGCATTGTGGAAGCACCATGAACTGAAGTAAACGTTATTACATGTATCTTACTTTTGTTTAAAGTATTTCAGTCTTTTGATTTTGTTCTGTTAGCTTACCAGAAGAACAATGTGCTGTGATGCTCCCAGATACTACTCCACATTATGATAGCAAATCAGATTCTCCATCTTCTGAAGCTTCTTCTGTGGATAAAGAGACAGGGCAGAGAAAAAGCCGAGCACGTGAAAGGAGGAGAGAGGGCAGGTCAAAAACTTTTGACTGGGCAGAATTCAGGCCAATAGCACAAGCAATAGCACAAGAAAGAGCAGCAAAAGCAGATTCATGTGACAGTCATTCGGAAAGATTTGGTTCATCTTCATCAGACCTGAATGACTGGGAACGGACTAAACGGCGCGAGGAACGTAGAAAAAGATATGAGGCTGTGACTGGAACAGTAGGCTCGAGTTCAGGTGATGCAAACAGGATGGAATTTGAATCATCAAGTTCCTCGCCATTGCTGGATCGGAGGCAAAAGATGCACGATGAAATTGAAGAGCACTGGCAGCAGGTAGAACGCACGCCCATAAGGGAAGAACGGCGGGTACCACTGGCAACAGTACTGGCAAGTTCACAAACATCACAGATTGATAAGCTACTGGAAACCCATACAAAGGAGGTAGGCAAAAATACATAATTCGTTTTCATATAAAACGATCAGTATGATTTAAGTATCAAATCTAAAATAGATGTGTTTGGTCACTCTTGGACTTTGAGTCACCCAAGCCCAGCAATCAGTGGCACAGTGGAGTATGTGGAAGCGTACAAAATGCCAGAGCTAAAGGAATTAAGGATTTGGTAGGAAAAATGATTGTACTGCTGCAGAGGGATGCAGAGCTGGAGATCTGCAAGCTCTTAAAGTAATTTCAACAGAATGAATATTTTAAATTCAATACAGTGGTGGAGGGCAGGACCTGTTTCAATTCAATGAGGGTGAGTTTGATCCAGGTGACCAACTGTCCCAGATTTTCTATGGAAAAGGGTCATCGGACTCGAAACATGGGCAGCACAGTGGCTTAGTGGTTAGCACTGCTGCCTCTGGCGCCAGGAATCTGAGTACTCCGGTTTCCTCCCACAGTCCGAAGATGTTCAGGCTAGGTGGATTGGCCATGCTAAGTTGCCCGTAGTGTTCAGGGATGTGTAGATTAGGTGGGTTATAGGGGCATGGGGTCTGGGTGAGATGTCTGAGAGTCAGTGTGGACTTGTTGGGCCGAAGGGCCTGTTTCATGCTGTAGGGATTCTATGATTAACTCCGCTTTCTCTCCATTGATGCTGCCAGGCCCACCGAGTTCCTCCAGCAATTCTGTTTCTATTCCTGAATTTCTGGGACTGTCCCACAGTCTTGTAATTTGGTTTCCTGTGTCAGATTTTTTAAAACTTCATGCATGCACACAGTTGGGTCATATGTTTCAGGCCAGAATCCCTCAGGTTGGTGTGAGGGTAGGAGGGGGCAGGCCAGCATAGTTGCCACCAACTTTACAACTCCGACATCCACACCCCCCATCTCTCAACCTTCATAATCAGCCACTCAATTAACCTTGTGAGCACCATAACACCTTCCCTGCTCCTATGGCAGAAGGTCCCTTGTTTTCTTCTTGACCTAGACATGCTGAGAGTCGAGGACACTTGGGACTGGTGTGGCATAGAATATGGAGTTTTGGGTGAGCTGATAGATACAGAGGATCAAGAATGGGAGATGAGCAAAAGAGCATTGAAATGGTTTAGACTGCAGATGGAAGAGGCCGTAGTGATAGGGTGGGTGAAGTAACAGATGAAAATATCCAGCCTTTTTCATTGCAAGAATGTGAGATTGGAGGCTTAATTTAGTGTCAAATAAAACTGATAATATGATCAGTTTGGTTCAAGTTGAGACAGTGAGCATTGAGAAATACAACTCAATGCGCAAGGTATTTGTGGTAGGATTGAAATTTATGAAGGAGGCCATAACTTGCAAGGAATGGCAAACAGTGTGGGAAAAGAAGTGTGCCCAGCTTCTCGATGTCTGCACCAAGTTTGCTTAGAGCTGTATTAAAATGAAATGCACAGCAGTTTGTTATAATTTGCTATGGATAAAAGAGACACCAGTTACGTTATCCTTGCATCATTGTACTTTTTAAATTTTCACCTATATGATCCTTCCTCGTAATAATCATGTTACCTAAGACTGTAGTTTGTATTGTATCGTATAAAACATGCCTGGTACTGAGTTGAAGGCAATGGTTCTAGCATCAAGGTTTTACTCTTTTTCATTTGACAGCTCTGTTGAGTCCCCACTTTGTAACTTACCACCAGCTGCTTCTGACCCTAAATTACAAAATTTATTGAAAGGAGTTCTGCAGGCAACGATAGTGATTCAGTTTCATTTCTCCAAGTGGGCTGTGGATTCAAGTTGCCACTTGAGCAATTAATGCCTAGTTTGCTTTCCTAGCCACATAGCTAAAATATGTCACTTGTGAAGAATAACTTGTCGGTCCCGTCCGGGTTTTGTTTGTCTCACATCCCAAGCACCAGTTAAATTCATGTGGCATGTTGGCTAGTGAGGAAGCAAAAGTTTTTTTTTAAAAAAAATCCATTGTTAATGGCAGAAGTCAAACAGTGAAAAACTTAATTTACTGTTAGAAATCAAGATTTCAATGGACAATGCTTTATTTATTATCTTGCCTTGTATCTGAATATGTCTTCCATATTTAACAATGTAAAAACTAAAATGTGGAGCGAAGAGCTAATCTGGTGCAAGATTGACAGTGAACATTTACTAAAAAGACATGCAAAATATTTTCCACATACACCTGCTAACTGCAATAAGAGGAGAAATGCCACTCAATTATCAGGGTTAATTACAAATCAAATTATCAGCAACATATGCATTCATGCAAAAATAAACTATAATTTTGGCACTTTAAACTGTTTTAAGGCAACAGTCATGAAGCCTTTTTCAATTATTGAATCCTTTATCCAAACTGAAACTTGGGTTTAAAAAAAAAAGTCCTCAGTTTAATTGCAGTATGGTGTTCCACTTCACCAATCTGAATTAGAAAAGGGTTGGACTGAATCAACCTTTTATTAGGATTTTCATGTCTGTCTACAAAATGGATTCTTGAAAGAACAAATAAAATACTTTTGTGACATTAATTCATGAAATTAAGTTGTTTATGTCATATTGTTGGTAATGAGATAGTGGTTACTTTTTGACATATCCAGACTGGATCAACAAGTGTAGGCAAGTCCTGAGTTGTCATCCCTCTCAACTTATTTATGTTCTACATTCACATTTTCTATGAATCTGACAAGTAAGCAAATGATTCCTGGTTAGAGACAAAAAAAAATGCAGATGCTGGAATCCAAGGTAGACAAACATGAGGCAGGAAGAAAGGAGTAGTCAACGATTTGGGTATTACCCTTCTTCAGGACTGGATGAGGAGGTAGGAGGAGCTGCAAATAAAAGGGTGGGGGGAAAGGAATGGAGGCAGATAAGGTGGTGTTCTTCAAATTTGCGTTCCAAGTCGCTGCAACACTGGAGGAGGCCGAGGATGGACGTGTTGGATGGGGAAGTGGGATGGGGAGTTGAAATGGGCACCGATCAAGGAGTTAGGTTGGCCGTTATGTGCCAGGCGGAGGTGCTAGGCGAAACAGTCACCTGGCCTTTGGTATCCTGCAAAAATTCAATTCCCTTTTGCCAATTCCTCATCTCCGTCGCATCTGCTCTGATGAGGAGACGTTCCACTTCCAAGCATCCCAGATGTCTGCCTTTCTCAAACAATGCTCTTTTTCCTGCCTCTGTCATCCAGACAACACTCCACTGCGCCTCTTCCATTCTCCGCTCCACAGCTGTTAACCACCTTGCAACATAATAAAGATAGGGTGCCCTTTGTCCTCACTTTCCACCCCACCAGTCTCCGCATCCAACATATCATCCTCGAACACTTCCGCCAACTCCAATTCGACCCACCATCGGAACATCTTCCACTCCCCACCCTCCTCTGCCTTCCACAAGGATCGTTCCCTTCGCCGCTCCTTAGTTCATGCCACACTCCCCACCAACCACTCCAACCTGCCCAGTACCTTCCTCTGTAACCATAAAAGATACAACACCTCCCCACTCACCAACTCCCTCACCTCCATTCAAGGCCCTAAAATGCCCTTCCAAGTGAGACAGAGCTTCACCTGCATCTCCTCCAACCCACTCTGTTGTATCCAGTGCTCCTAATGGGGTCTTCTCTATGTTCATGAGACCAAACCTAGACTAGGTGACCGTTTTGCTGAGCACCTCCAGTTGGCCTGTAACAGCCAACCTAATCTCCCCGGTCACCACCCATATCAACTCCCCCTCCTACATGTCCATCCTTGGCCTCCTCCGGTGTCGCAGCGACTCTGAACACAAATTTGAAGAACAACATCTTGCCTTCTGCCTGGGCACCCTACAGCCCAGAGGACTCAACATTGAGTTCTCCAATTTCAAATAACCTTGCTACCCAGCCCCTGCCTCCCCTTCCAGCCCCACCACCTCCGTTCCATTCCACCTTCTGATCCTCCCTTCCAGCCACCAACTGGATTAATCCCTCCCATCGACCTACCACCAGTATCCACCTATCACCACCATTCCGCACACCCCCCTCGCCATCTGCAGCTCCCCCTACCCCCACATTCTGCCCTGAAGAAGGGTAATACCCAAAACATTGACTGCTCCTTTCCTTCAGATGCTGCCTGGCCTGCTGTGTTCCTCCAAGCAGATGACTCCCCACCGATGTTCTCATGCAATGCTTTACAATAGAGTAGAGCTGTGCCATTTTGTTTATTTTCAATAAATTTTGCTTTCCTCCTGCTCAGTAAGGCTGATTCATGTTCTAGCTATTGTATCAGACAGACATTCAGAAACAGATGTAGTATTGTTTTGAAAGAAAAAATACGTTTGGTTCTGCTACTATTTCAGATTTGGAAAAAAAATTATCGAGCTGCACAGCATAGTCCATATTTAGAAACAGTGGATCTGGAATCCAAACTCCTTGCCCTGAAAATTGATCATTAACATAGATATTGTTATGTCTAGGAGCTCTTTCATCTTTGATAACAGCACTGCAAAAAGGCCTTGTACAATTTTACTGCCTACATTTTAATTAAAGCCAATAACACTACAAGTATAATACTTGTAGATTATATAATTAGATAATACATTATCTTTCAGTAAACAGATGCAAGCATTTAATTTGTTTCCTGACTTAATAAATTCACAAGCATTTTCGGATCAGGCAGTATGACCAAATGGATATGCAGGGTATTGCAGACATCAAGTCAGGTGTGTAGTTCAGTAGAAGGTTCCCTGTTTATTCTGTAGCAGACTAATTCATTCACTACATGTATAAAATTTGACTTGGCTTGTAAGAGTACATTTGGCTTTGATTATAAATGTGAGTGCAGCTATGGATTCTCCCTTGCAGAGCAGTAACTAAACTCTGATTTAACTTAAAGCTTTATGCACAGCTGCTAGACTGAGACTTTGAAAGACCCAAGATGCTCTTCAACGCAAATCTCTCTTGCAAGTGTAGAATATTACGGTCTACATTATGTCCCATGACATTGTCATGGTTTATACAATGATCATCTGACTTGCTGTGACACATGCCATGAAGCATTTTCTAGTACTGAATATTAGGTGACACCAAGTCCATTGACTGTACTTGACAGTCCTAATGTCAAGTAATTATTAATTTTAGGTTGAAGCATTTAGTTACAGAGCTGATTTATATTAGCTTAGGAATATTTTATTTTGTAGCATAATTAGCTCTAAATATTATCAAAAATAAGTTGCCAAAAATGAGTGGATCGGCCATTTCAATCAGGTAAGGCAGGGCTGTGCTGCATAGCGTAGTGTATACAGTAGCCTTCCATTTGTTGATCCACTTCTTGTTAACAAAGTCACTTGCTAACCATAAAGTTATTTTTTTCTTTTGCTCTATGTCACTTTGAGCATTATCTCATGACAGATAATCTCAACCAAATATGACTTTGTCTATCAATTTCCTTTTTCTCCTCTCACAATTTAACTTAGGCCAAATACTATCAACGTTTAGATTGCTATAAATGAGTGAGAGCATAATTCCTAATTCTACTTCCGTGAAAGGTGATTTATTATTTCTGTAGCTTGAAGAATTGAAAACTCAATTGGACCACTGCCAGCTAGAGTTGATAGACGCACAGAAATACAGAGCAGAGCTCGAAGCTCAGCTGAAGGCTAGCGTGGAACGTGAACAACAGATCCGTTCTGGGTACATTTCCCAGGTAAGACGACAAGTCCCTGTCCTGTACAGGCATATCTTCCTTCTGACATGTAGAGCGTGCTACATCCTGTATGAACCCTTTGCATGTTTTGTGAACTGACAACTTACCAGAATTTTTTAAATGCATGAACTGCTGCATGAAATTATAAAGAACTGATGAATCATTGGTGCTTTTATTCTATTAATAGCAACTTCTAATGTTTAAAGAAAAAGTAACCCCAGTAATGAACCATATAGAGGGAATTTTCATGAGCAATTTTAGTGGCTCTTTTAGTTTCTGGAATAAACAAATAAAAACATAGCCAGTGAAGGATTAATTGTCAACTTTAATTATCCGTTGGCAATTTTTAAAGCCGTAGCATTTACTTGAAATTAAAATTAGTCGACTTTTTGACTTGAGAGTAAAATTCACATTTGTTTCTAAATATCCAAAGAGAGAGAAGTTTGAGGTTTATTTGTACTGTCACACTACTTTGTCACATTCTACCCACAAGCATAGAATTTATTTTGGCATGTGGCCTTTGGAACTTTATTGGAATAGATCTAATAGGGAAAGAGTTTACAAAGTATTTACATTCTAATATGTTATATCACTGCTGTGAATTGTTCAGGACTGTGCATTATTGGAATCTGAATTGTTGAAGAATGATTAGAATAGAAATTAATTTTTGCTGGAAATAGAATACTTCTTCCATTATCTGGAAAGTGTCCAGAAATATAATAATAGGGCTAAAGCTGCTTAATCTTGTGACCAAAATTCAATTTAATGGCTTAATGCCCGTATTAGATTTCATGAGTGTAGCAAAAGTCCACAGTGGAATAATTCTTGATGGTTGATGATCTTGGAGCATAACTAAATTTCAACCTTTGATTAATTAAATCAAGATTGAAGTTTGAGCAAAAGAAATCCTGGGTGGTATCAGTGTGGCAGAACTTTAAATTCATAGCTATTGCACACAAGTTAAGAGGCATTTTAAGTGAAGTAAATCCCATGTGCACCACCTTCTATTGTTATTATTTCTTGCTCCACTCCTAGAACATACCCCACTATTTCAGGGAAAGAGAAAGGTTTGTGCTGTCACCTTTGTCCTATTAATCACCTAGGTTGTTTAATCAAAAACATTAAACCAATCTAATTTGAAAATTTTGTTACATTCAACATTGTATTGTCCCAACAAAGTACAATGGGCCAGAGTAAATGTTATTGTAGAACACGCGTTTTAAAAGATCCTATCTTGCTATGATTGTAACAAGTTTTATGAGAATAATTTAGAGGTTAATCAACCTGTTCCACCTGCTTCAGAAGTGGAACTTGAACCCAGGCCTTCTGGCTCAGGGGTGGGGACACGATCACTGCACCACAAGCACACAGGTTTTATAATCTGACAGATGGATCAAGGAAACTTTACTGACACAGTTGAGTTTTTGAATTTTAAAACTAGATTATTGTAGGTTTTCCATACTTCTACCTTGGATCACAGTCACAATGAGTAACAACCCACCATACCTTCAAGCCTTAGATTATCTAAAATGCTCAGTAATGTGCCTGGACATGATTAATAGAAAATCAATTTGTTACTTCTTTTTAAAAGATGTAGGTTATTATTCTGCTTCCACACGTTCTCTCTGCAGTCTGTAACCAACGCTGGAGCAACAGATCAGACCTTGTTCATGATTTCTGCTATCAAGCAGATTTGCAATACAAGTGATTTGTTTTTGTGTAATCTTCAAAAGGATCCCACTAAAAAATTTTGAAAACTTTTTAAAAAATTAAATACTTAACTGCTTTTTCTATGGCGAGATTATGTAGATGCAATTTTTTTCCCCCTCATTTGCCTATTGCAGCAACAAGTTCTGCTACAGGTGGGCGACCAACCATCCTTTTACAGATAGAATGCCACTTATTTCTTGTGCTGCAGAACTGTTTCAGATTAGATGGAGGTAAACAGCTGGGTGCAGCATCAGCCACACAGGGTAGGAAAACAAGCAGCAGCATTGCGAGGAGGGTGGAGATTACAAGTAAGGTCTAGGATTTGTTTCAGCTCGTCTTGACTTTATTCAGTGAGTGCATGATTGATCCAGCCTCTACCCCAGCATGTCACGAGATTACTTCCATAGTTTCCTATTGGTCAACTGAAGGGCAGTATGAATTGATCAATGCTATTTTGCAGCAACATCTCCAGCTCTATAAACTACCTTGTCTGAAAAGGGAGTTTTCTGATTGTAGGTTTAATACAGATCAGACGAATTGACGATTGATATAATTAGTACGCTGGGACACAGGTACATTGATTCAAGTTTGTTGTTTAATGCAGGGTGTCCTCAAATAAATCCAAGGTTGCGTTCCTGAAAAATCGCAACTTTTAAATGAAAGACGCCATGGGAAACGTTTTTGTGGGACTCTGCTAAAATTGGAGTTAGATTGTGTCGGGGCTTAGAGAAAAATGTTCACACATCACACCTGTTACCTCTAAATTGAAATACAGTACCCACCTGCACTTTAACTTGTTCAATTTCTCCATTAGTAAATGCAACAATTGTTAATACTTGTATAAAATAACCTTTTACTTTAATGTCTCCTATTGTGAACCCTTTGACTGTGGAGCCAGGTTTTGTTTTTGGATGGGGGAATGAGTGGGTTGGCCGCTCCCTATGATTGGGGGGATCATTTACTCATCAGCTTGTAGGTTGCTTGCTGGGTTTTGCTTGTTCCAGGCCGCATTGTGGCCAGTGCTTTTTTAAGGGGTTTGCCAAGTCCCTTTTTGCAGAGTGCCACTGCATCAAGGTCCACTCAGGCTACTGCTTGATGTGGCAGCTGCTTGTAGCTGGCTGCAGCTCCAAATGGATTTTGGCAGTTCTCCCTTATTCTGCTGGCTGTGAGGTGCAATCTGTTACTCAAGGGCTCTGCTGTTTCAGCAACTACTTCAAGGGAGGGGAGGTCTGCTGAGTTCTGAAACCGTAAGCTTCCACAGGCCAGAGTTGTGGACAAGCAGGCTGGGGAACTGTGCAACTCCAAAGTTGTTGGTGCCCTGTGATAAGGTAGGTGTTCAAAGAGATGCGGATGGGTAGCAGCTGCATCATGGCCCAGGGTGAACAGTGGCTCTGGCAAAAGCCTGTTGAAGACCTTGGGCAGCAATGCAGCACAAGGAAAAGTCCACTAGTCAGAGTACAATGTCCCACCAACATGGCACCAATAAAATAGCCTGCGTAATGTACTGCCATAAATAATGTTAGAATGAATCTAAGACACCCAATGAGATTTCCAGTCAAAACAACTTATCAAAATTAAAGTGAAACAGTGCTAAGCAGGGTAACTTTAAATGCAGCTCCCCCCCCAACCGAAGGTAATTAGTTGTTTTTTCTTCAAGAATAGTCAGTCTTTCCTTTTAAAACCTCTGGATTGATTTTCTTAAATAAATGCATAAATAAATGGTTCAGTAACGTCCTTGAGGGAACGAAATCTGCCATCCTCACTTGGGCTGGCCTACATGTGACTCCAGACCCACAGTAATGTGGTTGACTCTCAATTGCCATCTGAAATCAAGCAAGCCAATTCAGTTGTACCAATCACTACAAAGTCTCAAAGGAATGAAACCAGATGGATTACCAGGCACCAGCCTAGGCACCAGAAAAGACAAGGCTAGAAACAGCCCTGTCAACCCTACAAAGTCCTCCTTACTAATATCTGGGGACTAGTGCCAAAATTGGGAGAGCTGTCTCTCAGATTAGTCAAGCAACAGCCCAACAGCCTGATATTGTTTGTGGAATCCCTGAGTATGGCTATGTCCCAGACACCACCATCACCAATCCCTGGATATGTCCTTGTCCCACCGTCAGGACAGACCCAGCAGAGGTGGAGGCACTATGTTATAATAAACGGGAGGCAGTTGCCTTGGGGGTCCTCAACGTTGACACCAGACCTCATGAGGTTTCGTGGCTTCGGGTTAAATTCGGGTTGAACATGGGCAAGGAAACCTGCTGACTACCACGTACCATCCTCCCTCAGTTGATGAATTAGTACTCCATGTTGAACGACACTTTGGAGGAAGCACTGAGGGTGGCAAGGGCACAAAATATGCTCTGGGTGGGGGATTTCAATGTCCACCATCAAGAGTGGCTCGGCAGGTGGTGAGGGAACGACCAAGAGGGAAAAACATACTTGATCTCGTACTTATCAGTCTGTCAGCTGCAGATGCATCTGTCTGTGACTGTACCAGTAAGAATGACCACTTCACAGCCCTTGTGGAGACTAAGTCCTGCCTGCAGATTGAGAATAACCTCCATTGTATTGTAAGGCACTATCACCATGCCGAATGGGACAGACATAGAACAGATCTAGCAATGCAAAGCTGGGCATCCATGAGGCGCTGTGGGCCATCAACAGCAGCAGAATTGTACTCCAGCACAATCTGTAACCTCATGGCCCAACATATCCCTCACTCAACCCTGATTCAATGGAGAGTGCAGGAGGGCATGCCAGAAGCAGCATCAGACTTGGCTGAAGATGAGGGGTCAACCTAGTGAAACCACCAAACAGGACTACTTGCACGCAAAACAGCAGAAGCAGCAAGTGATAGACCGAGCTAAGCGATCCCGTAACCAACAGATCTAAGCTCGGCAGCCGTGGCGCACAATTAAACAACTCACTGGAGAAGGAGGCTCCACAAATCTCTCCGTCCTCAAGATGGAAGAGCCCGGTACATCAGTGCAAAAGATAAAGCTGAAGCTTTCACAGCAATCTTCAGCTAGAAGTACCCTGTGAATGATCCATCTCTGCCTCCTTCAGTGGTCCCCAGCATTACAGATACCAGTCTTCAGCTAATTTGATTCACTGCACTTAATATCAAGAAAAATTGGAGGCACTGGATACTGTAAAAGGTACGGTCCTTGACAACATTCTGGCAAAAGTACTGAAAGCTTGTGCTCCAGAGCTTGCTGCTCCCCAAGCTAAGCTGCTCCAGTACAGTGATAACAAGGTGTAGAGCTGGATGAACACAGCAG